TGAAGAAGTAATCGGATCCTGAACTTGTAAATACCTAGAAAAATCATTTGAAAACCATAAGGTATACTTTCTACCATCATTTCCTTTGTTTCTACCCGAGCAGATCATTAAAATTCAATTGAGCCGATTTCTGTAGAAATCGCCCCCCGTCCTTTCTTCGTAGTTAAGTCCGAACAAAAAAACTTCATTCAATAAATACCTAACGTTCTCTATAAATTACAGCCGTTCTAATACATTTGAAAATCTTTTCTCATCAAAAGTTAACTTCATCTACAAATTGCAGCAAACTTAGTTAAAACAAAATAACTTTTTATTAAAACCGTTTGAAACAATTTACTTTCAATCTACGTTTTCAATGATCAAATTTTTTAAAGTTAACTTCAACATTAAATCGTTTTAAAAAAGATTAATAAAATTATTAACATTAAATTAAACGAAATTTTAAAAATTTCAATTTACTTATGTCGAACCGTATATGTTGAAGCTGACTTAACTTCATTAAAAAATGCTTAGAAAGTCACACTATTTCTACTTCGACGATTATTTTCCTAAAATCAATTACATTCGATTTAAAAGCAAATTCAGAAGCGAAATGAAAAAGCTGATTCGCTTTTACGAATAGTATACAAAGAATCCATGAATTGGAGTTTTGCTGAATCGTGAATGTTTGGCATTCTCTGTCATACACTCATGGAAGAAGACGCGCTGGGTCCTTTAGTTAACGGGAAGCTTTCAATCTGAAGATCTCAAAATTCATTCTAAGACCTACCATTTTTGAACTCTACTTCATCGGTTAAGTAACTGCAAGATGTAGAATATTGTTTGATATCGGACACAGATAGTGAACACTTGGATCTTCTCTTGAAGTGCTAATAAATTCTGTCTCAGTGAAATATAATAGACCTAGTGAGATTTATCGATCATGGTGAACGCAGTTGCTTTATACTTGATAATCTGATATTGTAGGAAGTGCGCAGAAAGATTTTCTTAGTAGCTTGATTTACTAAATAATGCCTCTTATTCGTTTAGGAGATACCACTGAATCTGTGATTTCATCCTCCTATTCAAGTGAACTATCATTAAATAGTGGAATATTTTATCGACTCAATGATGATATAGATAATTACTACTACTATCAGGCTATTCAAGTCCATGTGCCTGTATCTGGCACTTACATTTTTACAAGCGACAGTAGTCTCGACACTATAGGCTTTTTCTACGATACTAATTTTGATCCATCCGTTCCGACTAAAAATTTGGTGACTAATGATGATGATGGCGGCGACATCAGTTTACAATTTCTTGTTGAAGTTTTCCTCGAAGCTGAACATCCGTACATTCTGGTTGTAACAACGCACGGAGACGCTGAAACGGGAAGCTTTTCAATATCGGCCAGTGGTCCTGCTGCTGTGGATTTTTTGTCGATCACACCAACAACGAGTCAACCAATGATAATGCGTGAGTTTTTTCATGAGTATTCTCAAGGAGAGTGAAAAATATGCTGCCAGTTGTATCTTAGAAACTTGTTTTTGACGATATTTTCTGTTTTAACTTTATCTATTTGTCGTTGGAATGGAGAAATTTTTTCCAGTTTCTTTCGAACTGACTTTTCATTCTATAAACTCATGCTGTGTTGAAAAAAGAGTCAGGAAAAAAGTGAGAGGAGTTTCAAGACTAGAAACATCGTATTTCGAGCAAGGCAAATCACTGTCTATTCATTATTGACGAGAGCATATTTAACTCATTTTTACAGTAACTACTTTCATTTCTTCTAGCATCTATTGTACCTACGATTTCGTCGTCTTATTCCAGTTCACTTTCGACAAGTAGTGGGATATTTCAACGAGTCTATGGTGATTCAGAGTACTTTTACTACTATCAGGCTATTCAAGTCACAGTACCAACATCGGGTACCTACACGTTCACGAGTGACAGTGATCTTGATACTATGGGCTATTTTTATGATCCTTCTTTTGATCCATCCGTTCCGACCGAGAATTTGGTGACTGATGATGATGATGGTGGCGACATCCATGCACAATTTCTTATTGAAGCTTTTCTCGAAGCTGGACGCACCTACATTTTGGTTGTCACAACGCATGGAGAATCACTAACGGGAAGTTTCTCGGTATCAGCGAGTGGTCCTGACTCCGTTAATTTTTTATCCATCACACCGACAACCAGTCAACCAATAACAACGCGTGAGTTCGTCAATAATACATTCCCTGCGAGTGATATTTATGCAGTCGGTGGTACTTTGCGAGGTCAAATGCCTGCATTTCTTTTCTTCAAATAATTTACTTATAGTCAGAGAGGAGATTCCTGGTTCACTTTTTTGTCTAATTCGTTGCATTTTTTACAAAATTGTACCATAATGAAGAAAGAGGAAACAAGAAGAAGAACGAGCAAAGAGAGTCCAAAGGCTAGAGACATCTCATTTCATAGAAAGAAAATCATTGTGGGTTTATTCTTGACAAGAGTCATTTTAACTGAATTTAACAGCAATTTGTTTGATTTATTTTAGCATTAACTGAACCTTCTTTTGTGTCATCATACTCAGGTTCACTTTCGTCTAGTAGTGGAATATTTCAACGAGTCTCGGGTGATTCCGAGTATTTCTACTACTATCAGGCTATTCAAGTCACAGTACCAACATCGGGTACCTACACGTTCACGAGTGACAGTGATCTTGATACTATGGGCTATTTTTATGATCCTTCTTTTGATCCATCCGTTCCGA